ACGATAATCGATTGAATTATAAAAATTCATCAAATTTTACCACCCGCCCAAGTGATTCTAATCAGAATCTATGCCGAAGTATATGTACGTTCCATGTTTCGTGGGTTGCTACTGCTTGTAGTTGACGTCAATACTTAAATCAAATACATTTTTAGAACTAGTAAAAGAATAAAATGAAATTGATTAAACAAATCGATTTAATTTATACAATTACATATATTATAAGTATATTTGAAATACATCAATTAGAAATCAAAATAAACAGTTGAACATTTTACCTAATTAACTGAATCTCAATTCTGATCAAGCTGATTATGTATGCATTTTGGAAAGTTCATGTAACTTGCTTCAAAGCAAAACGTGACTTTATATAAATAAAAAAAAAATACGTGCAAACGTCTTTTCTTAAAATCATTCAACTAATTTATTTATCCAATTATTATATTTTCTATTGACTCGATTTCAAAGCTTTTTTCTGGATTTACGAGACCGCTGGACCTGCCTTTCTCATAAATTTAATCAATTCTTCGTTCCTTCAATACAAGTAAAATTTTTTTTGAATCATTCAAATTAGATGCTGCGTTCTTTCAATGGCTGAATTACCAATTTCTGCACTTTTTACCCCGTATATCCGAAACGGCTGAACCTGCTTTTTCCAAAAACTATTTTTTTTCTATAAAAATCCTCATTTTTCCGCCTTTTAAAGAATTAAATCAATATTTCGATCCTTCAATACAAGTGAAATATTTTATGAATCATTCAAATGGATGCTGCGGCGTTCTCTCAAAAACTAATTTATCAATTTTTGCACTTCTTACCCTGTGTTTGCAAAACGGCTGGACCTACCTTTTACAAAAACTAATAAATAAAAAAATCTCATTGAACTATAATTTTTAGTCCTTGAAATGAGGTACATCCGATTAGTCTCGAAGCGTATTGTATAAATTAATAAAAAACATTTTGGTTAAAAATGTTACATCCTTCCTGAACTTATAAAATTGTTCCATCAAAACAAATAAAATGTTTTTTTAACAATACAAATAGAATGCTCCGTTCTCTCAAAAACTGAAGTACCAATTTTTTTGCACGTCGTACTACACGTATTCGAAACGGCTGGACCTGCCCTTTATAAAAATTAACTTGTCATAAAAAAAATTATGGAACTACAATTTTCAATGAAATAAGGGAAATAATCGATCATCCTGGAAACGAATCGAATAAATTAATAGAGGATATTTTGGTTAAAAATGTTACATCATTCTTCCAGAACTAAAAAAATAGTTCCATAAACACAAATAATTTTTTTTTTGCAATTCAAATCGGACGCTCCGTTCTCTCAAAAACAGAATTACCAATTTGTGCACTACGAACTAAGCTGTCTTCGAAACGGCTGGACCTGCCTTTAACAAAAATTAATTTGTCATAATTTATAAATCCGTTCATAAAATATATCCGTTCATCTTCGAAGCGTATCGAATAAATTAATAGAGGACATTTTGGTTGAAAATGTTACATCACCAACACAACCAGAACTAAAAAAATCCCACACAAAGCAAAGCAAAGCAAAGAGTGTAAAAAATGAGAAAAAACAGCTCGAACAATGTTTCGCCTCGTGCATTCTGCACAATTGGGTGAGCCGAACGAAACGGGCGGGGCTCGCGCTTGTTCCCTTCTTCTCTCGTTTATCGCCGACTCCGCCCTGGTACCATCATTCTTCCTTGGGAGCTTTTGCCTGCGTCGACGGAAACCGAACGGCGTCGAACCGATTCACCTCTAGAGCCGAGAGCGGAGCCAGTGGCGCACGAGATAAATCGATTTTTGAAATAATTTTCATAATATGACTCAATATTATTTTCATGTATGAACGTGATTAAAACTTTTGGCGTAAGGCATTGTGCCTTAAGACAAATTGATGGAATTCACCGTGCCGTATTTTAATTTTTTTTGAAAAATTTTGATATTTTTTAAAAATTCGACTTTTTTGAAATTTTGATTCGAATTTAGAAAATTTTGTATACTAAGATTTGTCGAAGACAAAAAAAAATAAAAATAAATTCCTTGTAGTCCAAGCGTAGGTAGTCCATGTAGTTTGAAGTTTTTAAGGAAACCTAGGCCTTTGGTGAAACTGTGACCATTTTTCGGTTATTGACGTTAAATTTTATTTTTTTATTTTGGTTTTTAAGCTTTGGATTCATAATGGTAAATAACATTTTTAGAAGGACAGTCAAAACTGATGATACAATTGCACCAAGTTTTCAAGAATTAAGACTATTTGTTGAACTACGCATTTAAAACTTTTAAAATACGTCGACTTTGAAAGGAGCCTCCTTTAAAAAAAAGTACTAAAGTTTCATCAAAAGTTCATTATGGCGCATGTAATCAAGGTTGTGAAACGGTGAAATATTTAAAAAAAATCACGTAAAAATAAGAACCTAGTCATGATATGAGAGAAACATTTGAAACAATGAATGTGAGTGAAAAGCCAAGCTTTTGATGGAACTTGCCAACACACTTCAGAACTTTATTTTTGGATGATCTCTCAAAATCGACTAATGTCTTCGATATTTAACCAGTATGGCAAATTTTCAAAATTCGAAATTCCATTTTTTAAAAAAAATCAAAATTTTCATAAAATTTTAATTCTGTAAAAATTTCAAAATTTTCAAAATATTTCACTATGTTCAAAAAAGTCAAGTTTTTAAACAATATTAAAAATTTAAAGCTTTTAATTGATTATGAAAAAATTTAACCAAAGGTCTTAATTCTTGAAAACCTGGGGCAATTGTGTTATATTTTTGACTGTGTTCCTAGAAATGTCGTTTATGATTACGGATCCAAATTAAATGAACAAAATTAATTAATAAAATTAACCACAATAATCGAAAAATAGTCATAATTCCACTGAAGCTCGTGGAAATAATTTCGTTCCACAACGTGAAATAATTTTGTTTTTTCTAAATTTGTTCAGGATTGTTGAGGTCAATACTGTCACCAAGTTTCTTCTTGACGTTAAGTTCTGGGACCCCCTGCAAATTAATATGAAAATTCTGAATTATTCAACAAATTGTTTTATGTTTCCTTTCCTCTCCTTTGTTTATGATTTATTTTTCACTAAAACAACAGTGAGTTTTTTCTAAATCTTTAATATCGACTTTTCGGAACTAGATTTGTTTCATCTTCAGATTTTTTCTGTAATTGTGAAATCTCTTGGTCCATATCTAGTTTTAATATATTATGAAATTGATATTTGAAAATTAGAATAAAATACACTTAATGAATAATAGTAAAAAAATCTTGGAAATCTGAAGTAAAAATCTTTTACTTCCAGCCATCTATTTTGGAATATTAAAATGTATGCATTGTATAGATGCAGTTGTAGCATCCCTTATACAGATGGCATGAGCGTAAACCATTCAGGGTTGTGTGTTGAGTTACAATGTATATATATATATATATATATATATATATATATATATATACATATATATAAATCCAAATTAGTTTTGTTTCAAAATTATTACATGCATTCCAACAGCTTTCGAGTGATATATTAACCATATATACTTTTGAATAAGATATTTAACAATTGTGAAAAAGCACTTATAAACAAATAATACATTACTAAATAAAACCAATGTTTTTTTTGTAGAAACAATTTAATATTTAATGACCTAATACTATACAATTTTTGGATCAAAGGTCAACAGACTAGAACAAATTAGTAGAGATTCGCTATCTAAGGAACAATATATAAAATGCATGTAGCGAATATGAGCGTCATTAAACTAAAATATTTTTTATGACTAAATGCATACATATTGGGTACAGTAACTAGATATATAAATAAAGATTCAATCCTCTAAATATCATGACTTAAATATATAATATATTCTAGAAATATAAAAGTTAGAGAATTGATTAGATAGATAGGCATTTGCATAAAATAATATCATGCCATTTTGTGATAAAGCTATTTTCAATGAGTTTGAAAAAATATCAAAAATCACATCCAATTTTGAGATTCATATTGCATTAAAAGAATCAATTCCAAATTAGTCATCATAAGTAATATAATGTTACGAGTCCATGAGATGAGGAACAACATTTGAACCACATTTTTCCTTGCATTATTTCATAAATATCAAGTCTAGTCTAGTAGTATCAAAATCTACTTATATTCACACAGAAAACTAAAATCTTAGTTCAAAAATAAAAATTAGGATAAATATATATGGCACACCAATATCAAAATGCGTTTATCTTTTAACGATACATCAGTGTGTGTTATTTTGATTATTGAGATATTATGTTTCAATAATCATATGAATGATGAGAAAAATAATTATATATAGGTAACGTTAAATAAGATTAAATGTTTTCTGCAATCTTTTCAGTCACATAGTCTAATTATTTGTATTTTATTGTACTACATAATATCAATTCACCGAAAATTTTAAATAGCCAAAAATTTAGTCAAATGGCGTCATTACACCTATAAAATATCAATAAACCTATTGCTATTATATTATATATATACAATTTAGTTTTTCTAAATCTATCATATACATACTATATATCCATTATTTGCAGCCGAATTTAAAATTCACTGATAAATTTAATATGCAATTCAATATGAATTCATCAATAGATAAAAAGCAAACATATATAATGAAATAAATCTAAATGGCAAGATTATTCAAAATAATAAAAAATTTATATATATATATATATATATATATATATTATATGTTATGAAATATATGTACAAAAGAATTCAAAATTATCACTTTAATTTTTGGGAAGTTTAATATAGCTTTTCATTCATAACTGGCCTTTGAATTTAATCTAATTCTAAAGCTATTATGGCATAGAAAATGCAAATTTGTTGATTAATGAATTAGTTAATTCTGATTATATCTATGATTCAAATATGTTACTCAAATAAATCTTTTTGTGAGATTTATTAATGCTCAATTAAAAAAATAGCTCCTACGCCCAGCTTTGTTTTTCAAATAAAACAGTTTCAACTTACTAATTAATTCGCTGGTTTAGTATATTATGACCAAAAACAAAATTAAAATTATTCTTTCAAAAAAAAATCTCATTTTAAACATATCAGATCCATAAAAATATCAGATGGTAGCTTATATAAAAAATATTTGAAACATACCTAGTTTACTTATCAATTTACCTTATTTGTTGAATTTGTACCTACTTTTAGCAATGGTTTATGGGACGAGTCTGTCATTTTGGCTTCTAAATGATGATTTATTCCATATGGCCTTAAATGGTATATTAAATAATCTAATACATACATTTGATTGGGTGAAACATAATGAAACGAAACTGCATTATCTGAGCAGCAATCAATTCCCTGAAATAAAGACAAAAATTAATAAATACATATATAATTTCACCTATAGTTTGCTTAATTGATAAACATTGGTTTTACTATCACTATATAGTAACTATATATTTATTATCTTTACCTCTTTACTAGGATAGTAAATAAACTTCCAATACCAGAAGTCTTTATTAACATGGCCTGGTATCAAATGATGTTCAGGCACAAATGGAAAAAATCTTCCTCTACCTAAAGAATCTCTACTATCACCAGCCTTAACACCGACTGCTTCCAAGCATTTGCCTTTAATTTTATCAATCATTTATCAAATTGTTCATTTAATCAAACTCAAACATTAACTAATACATACCCATTTCAACATCTTCACTACCATCATGATCTTTTCGGCATTTATTGTGTTTCAAACCTCTTTCCACAAATCTTATGACTGCTTCTTTGCTTAAAACATAACCAGCTCCACCTGACATATATCCCTGTTTAACATATGGCTTAAAACGACATCCTAGATATATCGGGGTTGTAGGTTTATGGGCAGATAGCATGTATCGTAAGTTTTCCACAATCACATATCTGAAAGTAAATAAGAATAAAAATAAATATTATATCTTAAGCGTTCAATTGCTAAATTATTAATGCAATTCTTACGTGTCATCATCTGCTTTTAAAAACCAGTCATGAGTATCTAGATGATGATGGTATACATATTCAAAAGCTTGTTTGGTTTTTGCCCATAAATAATTGCGTCCTTCACTTACATTTAAAGCAATTGCAGGCAGTGTCGGTTCTGCAAAAGTATTATTAATTATATATCCAAACATAATGTGCATATAATTATAAAATATGTTTCTATCAAATCTCAATAAAGATTAATGAAGAATTGCATTAATGAATAATTTATGAATGCCTTTATAAAACTTTTTATGATAATTAAGATTATAGTCTTAATGTAATCCAAATAAAAATTACAATATTGTATTTAAAGTACTAAAATCTGAACTAAAGCAACTGAAAACTAAAGATAATTTTATAAACACTATAAACTTAACATACCGGCTTCTGAACTCATAAATAATAAAGTATTACATCTCTTTCCCCAAGTATTCCTAACATGTTTTGCTTTGGCAACATGATTCTTTGGACTAGTCATAACCCAGCATAAAACCTAAAACAATAAAGAATAATGTAATTTGATCACAAAATAGATTTGAACAGATAGAAGTAAGTTGCAACTACTTACTCGAACTTTCTGTTTCAAACTCTGTGCCACCGAATCATCTTCATGTTTATGAAATTCTTCATCGTTTGCATGCTGCCCCACTTCAAATACAGGTCCAGATGCAGAATCTAAAAGACCATGATGATGCGCATCATGCATTTCAAAATCAGAATGTTCTGAAGTAGATTGTCTGAAAATTGAAAAAAATAATACATAACTTATGTAGTTAAAATAATACACTAATAACATAATTTAAAAAAAAATATCAAAAGAATTACTATATAGATATATGGAATTTTAATATTGAATACTGAATAGGATTTGTTTATAGTAAACTTGCTTTGAACATTGATCTACATATGGAGGTATGTGTTGGGTGAATAAAACAAACAAAACCGTTTATGACTATCAATAAACTTATATGTACTATTAAGAATAAACAGAGAATCTTGTTATGTTATATATATATATATATATATATATATATATATATATATAATTTATGGTATAATATATCATATTTAATTCTAAGAACTATGTTTTTGAAAATTAAGTTCTAAAGTTTTATGAGTGAGGAAATATCACAATGCAAATAATAATGCAATGCAACTGAACAAATAATTGTAAATTGCATAGATGCCAATATTTACTATGCAGCTATTATATCACCTATTGTTTTAATGCATATATGGGAATAATATGAATAATTTTTTGATGTCACATAAATGTACGAAATGCCAACAACATATTTTCATTAATATTAGGAAAGAAATAAAAATGCTCATCGAGTTGATATAAAAAAATACTATTTTTATTATTCATATTATTAAATCAGTTTGATTAAGAAAAAATATTAATTCAAAACAAGCTTCTAGTTGATTTATAGAAAAACAATAATATCCTTATATGTTTAAATAGATTATTCGAAAAATTTATTTTCATTAGAAGTATATCCTCATTCTTTTAACAAACAATATAAAGAATTACTATATCAATATAAACAATTCAACCACATATTCTAAACAATTTTTGTAGTTTTAATATTATCATATCTCTTACGTACCTAAATGGTATCCAACTTGGCACATTTGTCACTCCCGATGTAATCATTAAAAGATACGCACAACTGAATCCAACAGAAATTCCAAATATCAATGTAAATAGAGTCCTATGAGAAAATAATGGAGACCGGCTCACTAAAATAGAAACAAACCTAATTTTAAATATTTTTTTCTACAAATGTATCTGCATTCGAAAAATTAAATACCAATATGCTATATATATATATATATATATATATATATATATATATATATATATATATATATATAAATATATATATCACAAACTTCTTGTTAAATGATAATGATGATTTATATATTTTTTTAATTTATAATTTTTATTAACATATTTTAATCCCAAAGTTGAATTTTATATATCACAAAATAATTTCACTATCACTTTAATTTCAAGATAACTTTACTAACATCAATGATAAATAATATTCAAATTTAATTAATTGAGGGTTACTTAAAACATTTAATAAAGAATATTACCATGAACACTAGTTAATGGTAGCAACGGTTCAGACGAGCCCATTTTTGTGTAAAAACTGTACTCTCAGATACAAATTTTTTTAACTGCAATATCACCTACATGCCTTATAATTTATAATGTTTACGTATCATAAATATCAGTTCTATGTGTAACATACACATTAATTATAAAAATGTCATAGTTTATCAAAGTTGATTTCATTTCATATGCACGGCTACAGATAAGAAGTAATATGATCAACATCACAGATACATTTAACTAGACTAAAACAAAAGTTTGATTGAGTAAAGTATGATTGCATTGCATTTATGCAAATATGCACCATTAGGTGGGGTGATGACATATATTATAATATGAATATTGAAATTGGCATAGAATATCCAATAGTTTAGGTAAATATAACCTTATATAAAAATACCTTAACTGTATATAAATATGTATATATATATATATATATATATATATATATATATATATATATATCTGTGACAAATAAAAAAAATCAAGCCAGAAAAATATCCTTAAATGACTGTTTTAAATAGTGATTTATTAAAGGTTTATCAATATTAGTTTTTATTTAGTGTTATATATTTGTAGTTTATATTAAGTGTTATGTATATATACAAAACTATCTATGAACTTTTAATACTCTAATTTTCTCACATATTGTCTTTAGTTTATAACTTGTACGCTTTAAAATGTAATTCTACAAAGTTATTGCTTCAGGCGTTGAATAAATAAATAAATAAATAATCATTCATCTTGGTTACATAAAATTCGTTACTATAAGTACAAAATTTATAAACTCTATAAATAGAGACTGTCATGGTCTATAAATTAATGTCATCAAGTTCATTGTTGTTTAAATCGCATTCAATTTACTTGTCATAATTTAAAATTGCAACTATAAATTAAAAACAATTCCTAGATCCAGCCAAATAGTCTGCATAGTATTTGTCATTATTTCGGATTAAAAGTTTATTAAAAAAAATGCATAAAATGTATTGTAATGAATAAACTCTATAAACACACACGCAAACAAATTGTCATGTAATTATATATTACATTTATATTATATATTTATATGATGTATATAATTTTTTTTTCAGATGGTGATAAATATGTTGATAAAACAAAAAGCTTGTTAACATGCATCCATCCAGATATAAAAAAGAAAGGAAACTAAGATATGATTCTTACAATAAATTTAATAGATCCATACGTTCCATATGAATATTCCATCCTTTGAGATGTGATGATCGAATTTATTATATAAAAAAGAAAGAAAACCAAGATATGTTTCTTTCAATAAATTTCATAGATCCATACATTCCATGTGTAAATATTCTATTCTTCAAGATATGGTAGTCGAATTTATTATATTCATTTATTTCTATTTTAAACATGCTTAATTGTTTGCAAAGTGATAATTTCTTAACCATGTTTTTGGCTTTGTTTTGTGTTGTGTATTAACTGTTTGTGTGTTTTATTTGCACTGAGGAAGAGTCAAATTTGGAACTCGAAATTTATTTTAAAAAACATCTTAGTTTCCTTTATTCTTTACATCTGGATAAATGTTTTTTGTTTTACAACCTATATATATATATATATATATATATATATATATATATATATATATAATTAAATTTGATAAAAAATAAAATTTTACACATAGAATTATAGCATCACTTACTCATTTAATATGTCACAAACTAAATAAAATAATTTTCTGTGCATAAAAAAGAGATAAAGAACGTAGACATTATCACAAAATTGTTTAATCAGCATTTTCATTTCCTGAGTTGTAATATGTGATAATCAACATTTGCTGAGTGATAAAATAATATTCATGAATGCAAACATCAATAAATATTGTATTATTATGTTCTTTAGCAATATAGTGCTAATTTATGATATAATAATATTTAATATCAGAAAATAATTATTTTACCAGTAATTATTGGTGAACCCATTTCAACTCGACGTTAAAGCATATCTTGTTCTATTTGTTAATGAACAAATATTTTCCGAAATGCTCGAAAATAACATTGTGACAAAATAAACTTTGTTCACTTCATATTATTTCGATTACAAATATGTATTTTAGTTATTTTTGATGCATCATTGAAGATTTTCTCGTACTTGTAACTTTTATAGGTTAGGTTTGTAGTTAGTTTGCACAAAACATATTCGCTTCGCATATCGGTTATAGTAAATAATAATTTATTGAGCACTAAACTAGAGAGATAACTGATTTATAAATATGATTTTTATATATTTATTTTAAACGTTCCATCAAAACGTCATAATTGACATTTGAGGAGCAGAGCCAACCTTGAAGAGTGAAAAGGACAACTTCACATCTCATCTTTTTTATTTTTTGAACCTAACTTCACATCTTATCTTTTTTATTATGTTGGTGTTGAAGTGTCAAAGGTGAAAGCAAAATTTTCAATTTGACAGTTACTGTACAATGTTAAATTTCAATTATAAATATGTATTTATTGGTTAACAAAATAAATAAAATAAAGCAAAAATGCCAAGTGATAAATTATAAAGTGTAGCAGATTTAAGAAACAAGATTTTCCTTGGATGTTATTAAGGATCCCGATCTGATGAAATGTCGATGAATCCAGGTGTAGGAAACTGAAAGGTTAGATTTTATATTACTTGACTTATATTTGTTTTATTAACTTTTCGAAGACATTTATATCTTATGTTTTCTCGAAATAATCTGACTTAATAATTTTTTGTTTTCTTGACGTTTCAAGTCAATCTGTATTGTTTGACACAATCTGGCCTGATCAGGAATTCATGTTAAGCGTTTTTTTTAATGCTCTTTGAATTTTACTACTATAGTGGTGGTTTAATTATAAAAACTAGTGGGGTGCATGGCATCGTGCCTTAAGGCAAATTGCTGTTACTTCTCGTACCGTAATTAAAAATCTTGGTACGGAACCCAAAAAAATTTAAACAAAATATGTACACATTATTAAAATCTCTATAAAATATCTGATAATTTCATGTACATATGTCCAATAAACATTTTTGACCGCCAAATGACATTTTTTTAACTAATTTTACTGAGAGTCTATAACCGCTGGACCTGCCTTCTCAAAAATTTAATCAGTTCTTCATCTTGTCAATACAAGTAAAATGTTTTTTGAATTATTAAAATCGAACGCTCCGTTCTCTTAAAATCTGAGTTACCGTTTTTGATATTTTACTATACCCTTCCCTCACCACCTGATATTTAGTGATTTTTTGTCAAACCCCCCCTTTCTTTAAAAACCTCACGTAATTAATGTGGACCCCCTACGCCTAGTTTTATATCTTTACTTTTCTAAACTACTTTCTAAATTTATTTTGTGAAAAAATAAAATTTGATGCAAGTAACTTTAGAACGCAAGGAAAAACAAAAACCTTATGTTATGATACAATTCTTTATTTCTACAGAGGAAAATATATGATATACATATACAATACAATAGTTTAAATATTATATATATATATATATATATATATATATATGTATATTTATAATATTTAAATTATTAAAAAGAAAAGCATATTTTATTTTCTGTGGAGTTTGAAATATTCCATCATACCTGATACTGAAAATTCAACAGATATACATTTGATATTAGAAGGTAACATCAAAAATAGTGAAATACATTATTTATTTGCAAGGAAACTTTCTATTTTCTGAAACAAGATATCGGGTTGAAGTAACATTGACGATAACGTACTTGGCGTTTGGTTTCAGGAACTCTAAGTAGCTGTTCCCAAGGAAGTCCATCCAGCCTGTAAAAAAATGCAAATAAATAACTAATATTTAAGAATTATTTTAATGTTCATTTAAATCATGAGGAGTTTCATGAGCTATGAAAATTTTAAATTCGATTTACAATACTTGAAACTCGGATGCTCTAAAATCATTTATGGAGATAAACGCGCTTGCAAGGCAACTCCACTTCAATTTGCATCAGCTATAGCAAAAATAAGTCTTACAGCTTGTTTCAACACCAAAAATAAATTCAAGTTTTGCTCAATAAGACAATGGAATTTGCTAAGCAATAGAAATTTTCCACAGAGATGCTACTGAGCAGAAATATTTTACTTATAACAGAGAACTCCTTTGCTTGTTTAAAATACTTTGAGTATTTCTTAGATATAAGAAATTTTATTATTAAAAATGACCATAAACCCATTTTTGACGAAGCAGAAATTAGGAAAGGTTTTGGATCTACAATGTGGATTTCTAGACAATTAGAATACATTTTTCATTTCTCTGCTATAAGTAATTCTAATCCTATATGTTTGTATATATAAATTTTTAACTGCAATTGGGATTGAACTAGTCTTGTGAGCTATTGAACTGACTTCTTAAATGACTAGGTTTTTTTCATAGATGGTTACCCAAACGATTGTTCTAACTCATTGTGATGAATTTGTCATTACAATTTCTGCAACACTGATATTTTTTTATTGATGTAGCAATGCCTGCGCAGGTCTATTTTGACTTGAAATCATATAGCTATCTATATTTTCAAATTAAAACCTATTTCACTGCTACTTGACATCAGGTTGTTTGTAGCAAATATTGAAGTTCGAAGTTTTAATTTATAGCCCATAGCTCTAACCATTAAGTCACGGGTTTAATTGCTTAATTCTATTATAATTCCCTAATTCTATAATATGTTTACCTGTTAGCAGCTGCGTATTGTTGAGCCAAAAGTTGCATTTGTAAATTTGCCAAGGTCGGATCTTCTGCAGATTGATAGTATCGACGTAATTCATTCGATTCCAGGCTGTTTTCTCCCTGTAATAAATAAAAATCATTTAAAAGTTGATTTTAAATAGATAACTGCAATTTCTAACGCATTCAGCATGTGGAAATATATAGAAATATGCCAATAAAATCATTACTCTTAGTTTCGTTTTTTAATCAATGCTTATCAAGATCTGAAATATAATTTTTATATTTTTTATTCTATTACATCAAGCTTAAATTCTCGAAAATGTAAAATATCGTACCAAGTAGTCAGACTTTGCGATTACTTACTCACTGAGTACAGATTTTCTTTAGAAGGAAACCTTGTAAATATATTGTATGCGATTGAGGTCATATTTATTATATTCATGAAATGAAAAAAATGTAAAGGGAAGAAGGTTATTTAACCAGGTTACGGTAGTGATATCCAGTTATAAAGAAATACTATGAAATCAGTATGGTAACGGTAACCTTAAAAATATCATTTATCTTAATTTTTGGATAAGCATTTGAAATTAAGGGCCTTGCAAGCTATTGAGATGATTTCACTCAATTTCGCCGCTTTTTCAGAAGGGAACCCAGCAGTTAGCTTATATCTATTTGATGTTGTGTCATTTACTATTACAATTTTTGTGTCATTTACTATTACAATACTGATGATGTTTTATTGACCCAGCAATGCCGGGGAGTACTATTTTCTATCCATATTTTGAGGCCACTACCTCTTACAGCAGGCTGTCCGAGTCGTGTTTTAAATCTGAAACTTTTGATTGAATTTTCACAGCTCTAGCTACTAACCCATGAGCTAAAAACTATGACTATAATTATATTAATATTAACTTCCCGAAGGAGAAGTTTATGTTTTCATAAAAAAAATCCCATTCGCTAATTTTATATTTTCTCGGCGTTTCAAGCCATTCTGAATCGACCAAATCGAATGAGACCAAATTTGGAAAAAGCATGTGTATATGTGTTTGTGTGTGTTTTATTTAATAGGCTTGTATCAATTATAAATATAAAATCAAAATTTGTTATTGTATGAAGTAATTATTAACATAGTGACACGATTGTTATTATAGTGTTATCATGGTTCAAAAAATGATTCATAATTTTTTTTTGCTTTTCTTTGCACCTATTTCTAAATTGAAGCTGAAGAGGGAGAGGTATTATATTGCTACTCTAGTAACCAGACATAGGAAAATATGAAAATAAACTAATTTTATTATTTAGGTCTTCATAGAACTATATATAGTTAGAAGGTAAAACACAGAGCTAAAGTTCGTTTTTTTTTTAATTTTTCATTGCTTTGAATTTTTGCTTTTAATTTGGGTTTTCGATCCCAAACTGTACTTTTGAATTTCTTGGTTGACTCGATTAAATATATTTTTTCCATTTACCTGTGAAGAATCGTAGGCCGAAAGACTGTGCTGAGGTCTTCCTGCAGCGAGCGCAGCTAGGCAGGTCAAAAACATCAACACCAGGCTCAGGTGAAAACGAGAGTTTGCCATCTTTACGAATACCTGCACAAAAGTAAAAGTAAATAATATTTTATCATCATAAAACATTTTCTGAAGTTTCATAATAATAAACATTTCAAAAAATTTCGTTACCGCCGTCATTTAAATTTCTGCTGACCATCAACCCCAGATTTTATTCCATGAATAAAATCATTTTACGTTACAACACACACCCGGTTTGGCGCCGACCAGAAATTCCAGAATAAATTAATACATTTTCACATGTGTACATAGTGTAGGCCACGTAGGTAAACACTTCATTATCTTTCGCACTCAAGTGTGAATTAACACGTGCTAGGGGTTTTATAAGGAAGATAGCAATTTTGGATATACGAAAATATCTACGGAAAAATTCTATTTATTTCCTTGAAAGTATCTCTAGCTTCTGATGTAATTACATATCACTTTGGGATAGAGACCCATACGACGAGAAGTAAACAACATTATATTTTTGAAAATGATAAAATTAATGATAGGGATAGAGCGGATAAAAAGTCCATCACCATTATCTCAAAAAGAAGTAAAGTATAGAAGTTTTTAAGTTACTATTATAAAGTAGAGGGCAAAAGATGTTAACTAAGTCAACTTCATTCGTGTGCATTGCTACCACGAGATAAACTACAATATATGAATGTTTTTCGTTAGTAGTTTTGTTGGTTTTGAGCCCTTTAATAAAAAATTTGAAATTTGTGAAAAAAACCGCGACTCTATTTCAAGGAATTAGTATCTAAAATTTCCAAATATTTTTCTGTATAATACTTTATGCTCATCATAATGAGAATTTCTTTTTCTCCAACAAGCATCTCAATGCAATAGTTATTGTATCTTCAAGCATTTTCATATATAGAATACCTTGAGGACAGAATTCTTATATTACGCTATATTGTCCTTATAAAAGGTCGCACTTGTAGTAGATCGAATTCCATTTCTTTGTCCCCTGAGGTCAATGCTAATATTATATCAACCACATGGTTGTAGGAAAACTTATTCCGAAGTACGGTCACTTAAGAAATAACGAGATAGTACTCATATATGTGCATAAAAATAAGCAAGGAAAGTATTGTTACTAAGAATTTCTATTTTATAAATCTTATATTACGAGATAGAAAATGGATGATCATTTTTTACTTTATATGATTATAAAATTTATTTTTGGAGATATGAAATAACTGTAGTTATTCTTTGCATCCAACATGCAAGATATTTGTACAATTGATTAACATGAGTACTACCTACTAATTTACTTGACTAATTATTGATTGATAGATTTTATAGAAATGCATACCTTAGAAAAAATCGATGTATGTGTAGGTGTGCATGTGTTTGTGTGCGGATACAAAGAATAATTTAAAAAGCATTCGATTCGTATTGATGAGAGTCGTGCTGATTAGTTTTTGTCAAAGGCAGGTCCAGCCATTTCAAAGATACGGCGAAAAAAGTTAAAAAAAAATTCAGATTTTGAGAGAACGGCGCGTCCGATTTCAATGATTCAAAAATATTTTACTTGTGATGATGAAATGAAGAACTGATTAAATTTCTATAAAGACAGATTTTTTATAGAGATTTTAATAATAAGCACAATTTTGTTTACATCTCTATGGGTTCCGTACTATATTCATCCGTTAGACTGCAGCGCGGCGCTTACGCGCTTCGATATTTCATCTCTAAAATAGCTAAGCAGCACGATTGCTTAAAAAAAAGTTCAAAGTTTTCAAAAAAAATCAGAATATAAAAAATTCTAGATTTTCAAAAATTACAAAATTCTCAGAAATCTAATTTTTTCAAAGTTTTCAAAAAATTTTAAATCTCTTTTAAAAATTTTAATTTTCGGTACGGCAATTCGGTTACAGCAATTTATTCCTTAAGGCACGATGCCATGCACCACTAGATAATATTTTTTAATTCCTCGTATTTTAACATATTTCATAAACTATATATTTTTTAAATATTTTTTTTCAAGTTTATTGATGCAATAACTTTTTGCATGGAATGCGAGTGAAATTCCGAGCGTATTTTTACCCATAAACGCAGTATTAATTTACGCATTTTGTTATTGTGTTCTTTTTTCTTTTGCTACGTATTAAAAAACGATGTAAATTTTTCTGCACGGGAAATATTTATGCTATGTCTAGTTTTTTTCAAAAATATTTATAATATGGAATTCAGTTTCTATATTTACTGGATAAAGTAAAAGGCTTCTCAATACTAAATTTTATGCATGGGCTTCTAAATTACAACTTACTGCTGTACTGAAATATTAATGTCACTAAGTGTGCTACAACTTTATGGCTTAATTACATGGTTCCAAATTCGTAGAAATATTTTATCATTTTCTTATATTTAGAATAAGGTATATTTTTTGAATCGATATTATGGAAATAGGGTTTTTAAAGGATTTTCGTTAATATTTGCAGTATTCGCACATTATAAAATTTATCGCATATCTAAATAATTTTAATGTTAATGGCCATTATGTCCGTAATAGTTATGAGTTTATTTATTTTATAATAATTGTAAAATATACATCTAGTATGTGACTTTTACAACATATTCTATTTATCTACTTATTATGCCTTCAAAAGCAAATTCTTAAACCGATCCCCTCGACTCTAAGCTTTTGACATTATGTGATATATCACGAATTATTTTCACCTGCTTCAGTCATAATCAGATTATTCCAACAAGCCAAGCTCTTAAATGTCACTCACAATATTATAATCAATTTTCAGTTTGTGTTATATCACATTATTACACATTATATTTCGTACCACCTTCCTCATGAACAAAATTCATGTACAAACTTAGTTTTAATATAAAGTAATCTCTACATATAGTAATAACTATAGAAATACTCTACGTCAAAGATGGTTTATGATGAGAGAAATTTAGCATTTTGATTAAATCTCGTCTGAAAAGCGGGTACTAGAGAACAAAATAATATGAGGGTAAATTTTCTATGAACATGTTCGTATACATCTTCTTATTTATTGTAAGTTTTTAGTTTGAGTTTCAGAAGTTGTGTACTAAACTAGGTGTACATCACATTTTATCTTAATCGATTTCGTGAAAGACATTTTGATTAATTAGAAAAACGTATACAAATTTACAAATATTCACTTTTCAAATATATGAGCTTTGACAATTACGATTTCAACAATTTCTGTTAATTGGTGCGCAGTTATTCCATATCTATAAATTATTGATTAGCATTATTTCCAACATCTTGTTAATTTATATAATATAGGTATTACTCTCGAGAGAAATGATAAATTGAACCCAATTAGTAACATTAATGCCTCCGAACGAGTGTTAATTATGAAATATATATCAACCGGTGGAGACGCCTTGTATATTTCTGATTATTATGACTGAAACAGCAATCGGTAATTTGAATGGCATGACGTGCTTCCGTGAAATAATATCGAAATTATAGAGACATAACTGTTTCATTAGATCAAATAAATTTTCAATCTGTAAATGAAAAAATTTGTACTAATAAAATAGACTTATTTTGCGAACAATTTTGATGTAAAATTGTGGTATTTTCTGTGTGTTACATTTTTGTAACTCTAGCTATTTAATCAAAGTAAATTGCACTCTTATTAGTCATAAGACATCTGCTACCAGATAATATAATTTGTCATTTTGCCTTGTTTAGTTCTGAATGGAAAAAATACTATAGTTTACGACGGTTCAGTTGACATTTAATGTATTTGGGGCGCAGATAAACTGCAATAACCTTTTACGTCTCAGAATAATACCTATGTATTCTGTGATAAAGAATAATTACACAATAAACTATTTGTAATAAATTTTTATTCGGCGAGAGTCCCAAAAAAACGTCAATTTTAACTTGTGATCTATTTTAATACATTATTTAGTGATATATTGTTTGCAGGAAATTCCTTATATAAAATACTTTATTGATATTCATATTTTACCTCTAATAACTTTTACAGCATATATCAATTCAACATAATTTATTATGGTAAAAGATAATAAAAATATATAGAAATATTACATTTTATATCAGACAGATAAGCAAAGAGCGCAATGTGACATTTTCAATATTTTTCTCACGAGCTTGATAGAGAATATAAATTACTTTTAAAGTATGTTCTACAGAATAAGTTGGAAAATATTTATATATAAATTTAAAACAACGTACATTTTTTTAATATAAAAATCATATTTAAATTATAAAACTATATGTAATGTAATAGTTTGATGATTATTAGAATAAGTAATGAATTTTTATAAATTTTCTCACGAGGTTGATAAAGAATGTTAATCACTTTTAGAGAATAATTGAAAACAATTCATACATAATTTTAAAAAGACGTAAATTTAGTAAAGACGCCATTTTAAATTTTTATTAAGCGTTAGGCTACATTAGAAACTGTCTTTTAAATTCCATAATTTCTACTGAAAACCGGTATTTAAAACAGACAATCTCTACTAAGAGCCTATTTTAAAAAGGCTACATCAAGTCCACATAATTTATCTCAAGAAAGGTTCACGAAATTTTGTTTACTCTTTTTTTTATTAAATATTGAATATATAAATGCAAATTGTATTTTGTGTGAAGCGAATATATTTATTCGACATGACTTAATACAATTTTGTTTGATCGATCAGCGTTATTTTATATTTTGCATTTGCTTTCGGTGATGATTATTTAATTTGCTCCCATACGTTATTTTAGGGGTGTAATGATCGTTCATTGCTTATAGGTAGGTACATACCATTTGGCTAAAATAACACTAATTGAAAATTATATTTATTATACGAATATCAAATTATGATATGGGGTACGTTTAACAATTTGCAAAAATGATGATATGATATGGCATGGCAACTCATAAATTAATATTTGTCTCTAAACAAACATTGCACGTGAATTGCAATATTGATTTTTTTTCAGTATGTTATTTTATTAAATTGAATGCTTATAAATGCTTCACAGTCAATTTTCATGATGCAAGATGGATTATCCAAATATT